TTCTTTTGTGAAAATTGGGCATTTTGTTCATATTTTGCCCCACTATTACACATACATAAATTTATCAATTGATATTTACACCTCTCATCACCATACATATATCTTTATGTTCATATCATATGAGGTGTTATCCACTTTAACCTAAAATCTGCAATATTGGTTAAATATATGTATGACATTATATATTATATATGTTGTAAGTTGGTGCAAGTATATTTGGAAGCCAAACCATGGTGTCATTTGGATGGCACCATCAAATCTAAGGCTGCGGTTTCAAGTGGGGCGGAAAAGGGGAATGATGGATTTTCTCTGGCCTCGCATTCACTTTCACTCAAAGGTATTTTGTCTTGGCTTGAATATCACGTATCACACCACAAAACAACATATCAAAGGTGTGCCATTTGCATTTTGCACCAGACTAAAATTTCGAGGTTGGGTTGGGTTGGGTTGACAACATTCATTTTGGAGAATTTAAAAGGATGAGTTCTCGAGAGGAAGATATTGTTGATGCAGAATTTGAATCTAGATTCTCACATCAAATGCTCCACGAACGTCTGGACATACAATAGATCATATTTTAATTTGTGTCAAAGTCTAACACACCACACAATTTTTGTTCAAGTCCACTGCATTCCAAATCCTAAGTCAAACAAAGGCTTTAGTTGAGACTAGCAAAAAAGTACTTGGATTCTAATCTTGTTTTAATTTTTCAAGATTTTATTCTATTTTAGTATCGCCTCTCAAAATGTTTATATTTGTTGTTAAATTTTTTATTATTTTGGTTCTCGAATATTCAAAATATCTATTTTAAAATTAATTTTTTAAAAATAATCATTTTAGGTTCTTCTTAATATTATTATATCTTCTAATATATCTTTGTGTCTGCTTAATACGCTCATCTTGGAATTAACCTACTTGACTCTCATATACATGCTCACTGACATGTATACATATTCACGACAATGACATTTTTCTATGACAAAACCTAAATTAGTATACATGACAAAAATTAGAGGAAAAAAAAAGACATTTTAGAAACCAAAATAGAATTCCAAAGGTTTGTTTTGTCCCAAAACCTAAATGTTTGTTTTGTCCCTAACTTGTAGAGATTTTAGGGACAAAACAAACATTTCAAAATTTTATCAAGTGATTAAAATTTTTTTTTTTTAATTTTAGGAACTAAAATAGAATTCGAATATATATATATAGATTCAAATATTTTCTATATTTAATAATAAAGAAAGGTCTACCAATAATTAGAGAAATTAGATTATTGAACTTGGAAAAGTTTTCTTTTAATAATCAACGACTATTTTTTGGGAGTGAAGTCAATTGTTTGTTGATTTTACCTAGAGTTTATTTTAAAAATGGACTTTCTTAGATAAATAAAATTTTCAAAATATATCCTAAAAGATCAACTTTATTTTTTTTTATCATATACGCTTTTCAAATTCAAGTCTATATTCAATCCCAATGTTATATTAATAAAAATATTGCTTCAAATCCTCGTACTATCATTTCTTTCTTGCTATCTCATTCTAAAATCAAGAAGTGAATCCACATTATCCCAATGATTCTTAAAGTCAAATCCAAAACAATGATTAAAGTTATAAACTCTAACTTAATTAGGGGTGTCCAAATCACTTAATGATGATAATATTAAGTATATTAATAATATAGAGAAGGGCCAATCAAGTAAAGGAAATGAAATTAGTAAAGTACGACGTCGTTAAGACCCAAATGGAAGAGAGAAGGGCAATGAATCTCCATGACATGCGGCTTGATTTCTTACTTTCTCATCATCATTATCATCATCATGTGGCCTCTCGAGGGTTTTAATATTTGTTGCATGCCAAAAATTCTTCTTCTTTATTATTTATTGTTACACAGCTTTCAAATTATATGGGAATTCTCTGTAATCCTATAAATATTATTTGACTTTGGCGTTTTTTTATTATTTTTTTTCAGTATTATTTCTTGAGCACATATAATTCTCTTTTAATATTCGTCTCTTGAGCTGGTTTGACTGTTTTGCATAAGTTTTAGAATTGTCCTTATCATTGCGTAGTTACAAAATGGTCAACAAAAATACAACAACAAAGCTCACATCTAAGCCGAGGAAAAGAAATTCTTAATATATATATTCACACGAAATGAAAACTACTTTAAAAAAGAAGTCGAGATTATTACGATGAAAGATATGCATATAATTTTAATCATAAATAGATAACAAAAAATTTCTCTGCTTCGACTCAATTTTCCCTCTCTTCGAAGGAACTCTGTAATTATTTTTTATTGTTGTTTAAAATTTAATTTGTGTCGGGATCTATGAATAAAAAAAAATTATGGTTAGAAAATATATAAATAAAATACAAAATTTAATATGAATGAATTAATTGCATCGTTTAAAATTGTCTATAAATTTAATTATATTAAATAAATGGTTGAACATTTTGTTAAATAACGAAGAAAAAAACCAATTAAAAAAATCAAATCACTCAAATCCAGACTACACCCCAAACACAAGCTACTACTCAAATTCAGGCTACACAACATCTCAACATCAACTCCAGCTTAACAAACTCAAAATACTGATATCAAACCTGTGAGCCAAACGCCCCTTAACTTTCTCATGGGTGACCAATTTTTATAATTAGACTCATCATGTATAAACGAAGGGTCCCAAATTAAAATAACGATCTTAAACTTGTGTGTAATTAACTGATATTTTTTCCCATTAAAAAAAAACAAACTGATATTTTTCTCTTATATTTTTGGTATTGGGGCAGTTTAAGATAATTACTCAAAGTCAAACGAATTGCCAATTAGGTATTTCAATTGCAAGCAAAGTAATCTCTCTGTGGGGAAGCTTATCGAATAAAAGTCAAACTAGCTATTAATTGGACATCGAGGGAGGATTGACCTTATAATTAACAAATATTATGAGAAATAACATAATTTATTGCCATAATTACATACATATCATCTTTTAAATTATTTGTATGTGTGGCATTCAATTACTATCCATTATCGAACCACACGTAATAAATTATTTATTGATTATTGAATCATATTTAATAAAATATTAAATTTGTAACAAGAAAAAATGTTTTTTTGACAAAGTCCAGTTAAAATACGTTTAAATACTATTTTGTCTACTTTTGACTTTGGTTATATCCTTCTACTTTAAAAAAAAATAATTTGTTTAAGTTCATGTATTTTCAATTTTTTAGTTTTCTTAATTTTGGTATCTATATTTTTAAAATTATCATTTCAAGAATTTTGAAAAGACCATTTAAAAGATGTTGAAACAACCTGTCGAGTTTATGAACAAGTTTCTAACTAAAAGATTAAAATAAATTTTTAAGGTTAATATTAATGTAAATAGAAACAAAAACTTTAAATAGCTATCTTAAATTTTTAAAAAAAAATAAACTAAACTAAACGTTGGTATAAAAATTTAAAAAGCTAAAAAATAAATTGAAATTAGGAGTAGAGAAGCACAATATTTTTAAAAATAAAAAATACAAAAAGAAGTCTATTTTTATAAAATATGAAACAAAATGAATATAATTCGACTCATGCAATTTATTCTCTCTTTGAATTAGAGAGTAGATTTAAATAACGCAAGTTTTGCAATACGTGGTTGGTCGTGATTAATGGCTGCCATTGCCAATTGGATGCATCACATTTTCGGGCCACTATCCCACAACAAAACTTAGTTTAAACACGCAACAATTTCGTATCACCAATCTCTATTTTAATAATTAAATTAATTACGTGCATACTTTTCTTTAAATATAAAATTAAACAATAAACTTCTACGAATTGAATTTAAATAATTATAAGCAGCCAGTTTAAAGTTTAATCTGGATGGCATTAATGCATGTGCGTGTGTGTCTATAAATATATGAAACGAAAGAGCGTTCCAAATCCCAAATTCGGCAGTTTCTTTCTTCAACGGCACACCCACACATCATCAGATTCCTACTTTCCCTTTCGCCATTTTTGCTTCAACTCTATCACAATTTTCAGAACAAACAGTTCGCTGTTTCTGTTTCTGTTTCTGTTTCAGGTCAGATATTAAATTTCTGTTTTTGCTCTGTTCTGTGCTCGAGCTTTGTTGAAGAAGATGGCGGTCTACTTTTTTCAGGATTAAGAAAGAAAGTTTTTTTTTTTTTTTTAAGAATAAAAATTTAATTAAATGTTGCTCTCTGCCTTCTCTCGTGGTTGTCTGTGAAAATTTTTTAAAATATATATTCTTTACGCAACCAATTATTGGTCTTTTTTTCTGGCTTTCTTGCTTTGTTTCTTGTATATCACGGGATTTGTTAGTCTGTTACTACCCAGAAACTAATATTCATTTATAAATAAATAATTACAGTTTTTTGACTTATTTGAAATACGCTTCTTTTCTTTGTAGCCATACCCAATTGCCCAATTCGGTGCGGAATTGTTGACGAAGAACACAACCTGCTTCCTTCTTCTTCATTTTTGTTTTCTTGTTCATCTCTCTCCCTCTTTCCCGAGAAAGTGATGGAAATTCCCAAATTGGTGAGTGCTTTCTTCTGGGTTGGCTTTGATCTACTTCTTCTTTCGTTGATTTCCCTCTCATTTCTTGTTCTCTATCTTTTGATTTTGTGTTAGAATTCGGCTTCTTTACGGGAAGTTAATCAATTGGAAGAAACGAAGAATTCCCAGAAAATTTCAGTTTGCAGTCAGCCAAACGGTGTGCATTACGCAACAAACTCAGATAGCTTCGTCATCGACATGAACGGCTTCTCCAATGGCGGAGGAACCAAAGAAACCTCCCCAAATCCCAGAATTACAGTACGTTTTTCTTTCCAATTTTCATTAACAAATTCAAATTCCGGAGAAATTTTGGTCTCCCTTTTGTTAATTCTTTATTTACTCAAAAAATAAATAAATAAAGTTGCAGAAAAATTTATCCCGAAAAGGGTTTCAGCGTGGCGGCGACAGGATGATTACCAGCAATTCCGCTCCTACGGATAGAGATTCATCATCTCCACCGGGTACCATCATCATCTTTAATGAAATTAAAAGTACAATTTAAAAAAAATTTAACTAATTTTCTTTCGTTTTCCTTTTTGGTCTTATGTTTTTGTCAGTCTTATTCGAATAATTTATTAGCAATAATACCATATATTAAATTGAATGGCAGCACCAAACATTGGAAAAAATTATTATTGTTATTAATATTAAAAGAACAAACAGGCCACACCCTGATGTGCGCCAGTGGTGGGTTCTGGCCAACCTGTATGATTATGAGATGAACGATTCCGATTCATCCTACTGAACTGAATTATATTTCATTAATGTTTTTGTTTATATATTTGCATTTAACGTACACGATTGGTGGGGATTTCCTGTTGGTTGGTGTGGCTAATTTTTCTCAGATTGTTGAGATTCCCGGGAAATTTTCTGAAATTTTCTGGGATTTTGGTTGAATGTCAGTTACAGATTTCTGACCCTGGATTATAATTTTCTGTTATAAACTCGGATTATTTCCCACTGGTTTGAATGGTTCAATTAGGAAAAGAAAAAGGAAAAAAAGGAAGGTTTGAATTCAGTAAATAGTGGGTCCGGTCCCCTGTTAGTGTCACATGGCTGTGAATTGATCTTGATTCAAAAAAATTGTGGCATTTTCAGTTGCAGTTGGAGCTACCATGGCGGAAAAAGCAGGGGCGGCGGTGGTGGTGTCGCAGCAAGACCATTTGGGGCTTCCCCAAGTTCATCATCAGATCACTATAACCACCGCCGGCAACACGGCGGCGCCGGTTGAACGATCCATTCTTAGAAGAAACAGTTTCAGGAGGGCTCCCTCTTCTTGGTTTTTGGACCCCAAGAAAGTTCTTCTCCTCTTTGCCACTGTGTAAGCTCACTCCCACTGCCTCCATACATCAAAAAATGCATCTTTCCTTCTTATTTTGATCAGGAACTAAACGATGTCGTTCTCGTCGTTGCAGGTCATGTATAGGAAGTATGGTGCTCATATACTTCACACTGGCCATTGGAAAACCCAACGCGGAGGAACGCGGGTTTGATTAACGGAAGGCAGAATAACGAACGCAAGGACCACAATAACAAAACAACACAGATGGGAAGATGATGTGAGAGATGTTTGTACAAAGAGATAGAATGAAGAGAGACAAAAGGGCAGCAAAAGCAAGAGGGCACGGCAGGCTTCCATGGCCTCTAATTCTAGCAATCGGATGCGCCACATTTTCATTAAGCCTAGGAATGGAAGAAAGTGACACTGCAGCAATGCGACAAAGAAATGGAATCTTCCCTTTTTCTTTTTGTTTTCTTTTGTTTCTAAAATTGACAGATGAAAGAGATCGGATCAGAAACGTGGTGCGCTTTTGATTCCAATCTGTGTTAGGGATTTCTCCATCTGCATAGATTAGTTGAAGTGGAAGGTGATGAGATCACTCTTCAACACTTTTACAACCTCCTTTTTCCTCCAAATATTCCTTGTTTATACAAGTCTGCAACCCTTTTTTGGCTGCTCCAAGTTCGACCAAATTTGCTTTGTATTCTGTGGCTTCCATGTGAGCAAGAGCAGGCCACGCACTGCCACAAACAGAAAGTGTTTGAATGTACTCTATGCATGCGCACTTGAAGATTTTCTGACAGTGGTTTTTAACTTTTTATTGTGCCAAACTCTGAATGTATATATTAACTTTCCTTTTTCAGGATGGTTGAAGGCAAAAGGGGGGGTAGTAGAGAAGGGTATATATTATAGCACTGCCATTTAATCGACTGTTTCAAGTAAATCACGTTGGATGAACTATGAAAATGGAAAGTGATTGCAGACCATGTTTGGGACAATAAGGAAACAAATTTAGGTATTAGAAGTTCTATAGTCATGAAAGCAAAAGAAATCAACAAGAAAGGCAAATTCTCTGTGCTGAGGCTTCTTATAGGAACTTTAAAGGTAAAATAGATAATGATAGCATCCAAATATGTAACTTTCTCGCATGCTCTTTATCAAGTAACTGACTTAGGTCTATAATTAAAGAACTTGTCTAATCCAGCGGACACAGAATGGATATAAGAACTTTTACTTGACATTGTTGGGCCCAAGTAGTAATTGGGTGTAGGTTTTGCCCTTATTTACACAGGATAATGATCATCAGCTACACTATAGTATGAACAAATTTCAGGCAAAATTCCATCAATGAGAAGTCACCTGTGTACTGCCGTGGTCTATGTCACAGCTAACAAAGATTGAGCGACATCTTGTTCCACATTGATACTGGTATCATGCCTTCATGCTTAGCTTTTATGTCTCTAGTAGCGCTTTGATATTCTCGGCATCGAACACTTGTGTTTTCTATCGTGGTAAAGCCTCAATATGACAGCAGCAGATTCTTCAATGGCCTTCCCTGTCACCTCTGCAAGACAAATAGATAAGATATACAGTCCAATATGCAGTAAAAATAAATATCAGAACATTCTGTCTTTTTGATAAGTTGAATACCTATTACAGGCCATGTAGGGTTTTGAGCAAAAATCTTTCCAGCAAACTCCAGCTCCTCTCTAACATAATCCATGTCTGAATAGGTACTTCTCATTTCGTCACTAAATCCCAAACTCTTGGCTCTTGCTCTTCTAATTGTTTGCAACACAATTGGATTTATAGTCAGACCAAACACCTTTTCCGGGTCTGCCTCGAACAGGGTCTTTGGCAGTCCTATCCCCATTACGATCGGCACGTTAGCCACTTTATAACCCTTTTGTGCAAGATAAATGGACAACGGTGTCTTCCCCGTTCGAGATACACCAGCAAGAACAATGTCAGCTTTTTTCAAGTTTTGGGGCAATGCACCATCGTCTTGTTTGATCGTGAACTCAATTGCTTCTATCCGACGAAAGTACTCCTCAGAAAGCGGGAGATTACTGCCAAAAGCCCCACGAGGAAGACCAGACGGTGAAACACCTAGATGAGAAGCAACAGCTTCTGTAAGTGGCCCCAAAATGTCATTGGACTGAATGCCCCATAACCTGCAAGCTTGCTTGGCAGATTCAGCCATGAATGGATCGGCCAAAGTATAAACTAGCATAGCACCCTCTTTTGCTGCTTGTTTTACTATCTCTAGTAATCGCTCTGCATCATCAATCTGCCACATGTACGTTTTGTTTGTAACAGCAAAAGATCAGTACAAATTCAGAAGGTTTCACCTCATACCTTATCAGCTTCATACAAAATCCTAAATATATATGAATTGGGAGAAGTTAAGTTGTACACTGTGGAGCAAACAGTAATTCTCCAAAAAATAATGAATTCCCATTCAAAGTTGTTCGAAGAGTTAAAATATCAATAGTATAGAAAGATAAACAACGAAATTGTTGTATAGAAACAAAAAATTTACCCCAGAAAACAAATGGGTGTTAACAGGACAAACACGGTCGACCAGACAGTGAGTGAACTGGCCCAAGGCGGCGTTAACGGAGTGCTCCACCGTCCATCCAGTGCCATCAGACACCATGTAAATGGACTTCCCAGTTGTCCTCTCCGTCTCCACATCGTCATCGCCGCCCCTTCCCTTGAGGACAGGCTCCGGCGAGGCCCTGTCTGTGGGCGTATTGGGAGATTGCGGCTCCATAACAACCTGGGCAGCCCGATTACTGTGCCGCTCCAATTTGTGGCCCGATCGCAAAGCGCGAGCCCTGGACCAGCGATTCAATTGGGCGCTGCCCTTGGCTTTCCGGCCGGTCGCAGAGTCGGAGGATGATTGGTTCTTGATCAGAGGGTAGGAGGAGAAGGGAGGTCGGGTTCTAGGTCTGGGATTTTGGTAATTGGGCGTGTGAGGAATGTTGGACCAGCTGAGGGTTGAAGAAGGCATCGCAGTAATGGGAAACTGAAATTGATCGATAAATCAGCGAAGAATCGAGATGCAAGGAAGGAAATTTCTCGAAGCAAAGTTCAAACCGTCCACCACTGGAGGAAAATATCTTCAATCTTTGCTTTTCTCAAAATATCTTCAGTCTTATCAATGAAACTATTTGTTCAAGTCTTTTCCTTTTTTTTAACTAAAAAGATAGACAATCAATCAAAGATGAATAGGAATTAGCATAAAACTTTTTTTTCAAGATTTCTTGGAATTGTAAACATGGGAACCAAGGCAGAAGTATTTGAGTTCCAATCAAACCAACTGGTCACTTACATTTATGGTCAATTTAGGGCTCGTGATAGAGTTCCTTTACTTGATATTCAATTATTAAAACTCTCGTTGCTGTCTTACAACTAGTATAGTATAGTAGAGCTGCCAGCTTCAAAGCTGACCTTCTTATTAGAGAAAGAGGCGCACTAGGCCAGCGCTAGAATAATATACATATACAAGGTTAGGTAGCTGAAAAGTTGTTGTTTGCTATCTACTTCGCGAGCCTTCACAGCCCCATTCTGTAACTTCCCTTCTTTAGCAACGTTATTGTTTCTTATTCTTCGTTTCTAATTTTCTAAAGAAATCTAAGAATTTATAATTAATTTTGTTTTTTGTTTCTCCTTATTTATAAACATTCTCAAAATTGTATAAAAATTTTAGAAATCATTAAAACAAGTTTTTTTTCTTTATTCTCATTTTTAATTTGTTCTAAAATAAAAATAAAAATATTATTTTGTCATACTTGAATTCATGGATGTTTAAGTCATACAATTTATTTTTCTTCATTCAGAAACGTTATCAAACGAAGCTTTAAAAAATCACAAAATTTAGATTTATGCCTAAGTAACGTGTTATTGTGAATATGTGAAGTAAAAGTCAACGTGAAAGGTTCTTTAAAAAAATGAGTTGGCGTAAACATTTTACTAACGTGAATACAAATAATATATACTCTTCTATATAAAAAATATTTATATATACATGTGTATTCACCGGTTATTAAAAATCTTCTCATGTGTTTGGTACATAACATCTTGTTTTTTTTCCTTTTTTAGAGAGGTACATAACATTTTATTGATGATAAGATAACTATGAAATTGAYCTTGAAACTGCTACTAGATATGCTATTGACTTAACCACAACAAAATTTGTAATTTGTTATTGTCTTAACCTAGCCGACAAAGATTTATGAGTTAGAATTATAAGGTATGCAAATAAAGACTTTTACATTGGTTAGGGAGGAGAGTGATATATATATATATATATATATATTTGAGGACAATTATCTTTATTAGCGTGAGACTACGACTTTATCCAAAATGGTACTTGGAGTATGAGGGTACCATAACCCTTAACATTACCTCGAGGGGTTATTTGATACTTTTGAGAAACTATGTCACATCCAAAATGTTAACATATATATATCCAAAAGGGGAGGTTACATTTTTTTTCCATCTGTCGTACTATATATCAAATTAATGCCATTATCCTAAATGGCAATAGAGATCCAGCCTTACATTACAACCAAAAAAAAGAAGAAGAAGGAAAAAGAGACCACCATCGGCCACCAGCTCACCACACTCGATACTTGTAAACGCACTTAGAAAATATGCGTTTCATCTCACAATCTACAAAACCGCAGCGATTTTAAAGTGTAAATAATTGTGTGTTTCATGAATAATCATGATGACAAGAGAAACCTAGGAAGGCCAATCTTGTAGCCATGGTTCCTTACATCCTCTTGAACCTGATTCCTGAATTCCCTGAAGCTGAACCTTTTATAAACCGCCGCAGCCTCGTTCTCGCACTCGCTCTTTATAACCGTTTCGTTGGAAGGGCAGAAGAAATAAGCCACCGAAAATCTCTCCACCTTCGGGTTCGTCACGACTCGATGCTCAACACTTTTGTAAACATCGTTACTCCAAGCCTACGACGCAAACAAAATTAATTTAATTATATTAAAACACCCTTGACAACTTTAATTTACTGATTAATTATTTAATTACCTGAAACAAGTCCCCGATGTTGATTATGAGGGCGTCGGGATTGGGCTTGACGGCGATCCACCGGGCGTCCTTCAGGAGCTGGAGGCCGCCGACTTGGTCCTGGTGCAGAATGGTGAGGAAGTCGCTGTCGGTGTGGGGCATCAGCCCGAATATCTGACCCGGACCCGGAACCGGACACGGCGGGTACCGGTTCATCCGGAGAAAGCAACTGCTGCCCACACAATTTTCCACGAAGAATTTTGAGCTGCTCCCCAAATTCTCCGCCAAGATCTCCGCTACCTTTTGCGCCAAGCTTGAAACTTTTCCCGCGAATTCTTCCATCGTTGACCTGGAATATTGGATTATTATCGATGATGAAATTAATTATGTGGGATGTATACGCAGTACCGTATCAAAGAATTTAATCTACCCGATTGCGAAGAATATAAAGTACAATTATTATTATTCTACTCTGCCCCTCTATCTAACCAATGCCATTGCTTTTCTTTTTCTCTTTTCTGGATATTGTTCCACTCCTGCACGTAAACACTCGACAGCAGACACGGTGAAAAAAGAGGCGGTAAAAATTATATTCTATTCGTATTATAGTTTTAAAATTTAATCCTTAAATAAATTTACTTTCTAGATTATAAGATCTGAAATTTTTCTAACCGGTCCGCACCAATTTCATCTCAAGAAAATAGATCAAAAAATAGATTTCTTTCTATTTAAAAAATAAATAAATAGATGTTAACTTTTTTATATTGGTGAAATGTATTGTTATATATAAAAGATATGTTAGGAGGTTAAAGTTTTGCTCTTTTTAATCGAAATTTCTAGTTCTGTCTGGTTTAAGGACCAAGCCATGACAATTTTTTTTTTATAGTTTATAAAAATAGACAAATTTTAACTTTATGACTTTTTTATAAATAAACTTTGAATTTTAAAATATAAAAAATTGTAGATTAGGGATGAAAAACTTTAAAATTTTAATTTTTTCCATACCCTTTTTTGTGTCAGATAAACTTGAAGGGACAATTTTCCTTCTTCCCTCCTCTTCCCCATATTTGGACAAAAAAGTTGGAAAAAGATAACGATGCATGTATGTGCACGTCTCTAGCTATGCTATTGCTATGCATGCATATGGGGCAAAAAGAAATTTTAAAAATTAGAAAAAAAAAATCAATACCAGAGAAAGGAAAAAAAAAAGTTAGTTGAAATTTGGGATACCTGAGGGTGAGATGATCGGAGAGGGCAGTGGATCCCAAAATATCAGAGAGAGAAACATGGAAGGCTTCGGACCAGGAGAGTTGCCGGAGAGAAGTGGCGGTGGGCGTCCCCCACCGGTAACTTCCGGCGGAGAAGTTCATAAACTTACGCTCAAACGGCTGCTTAAAAAGCTCCATTTGTTTGGCCCTCATCTCCCCCAAAAGCCTTTTGGAAATCCCATGGTTCACAACTTGGAAGAAGCCCCACTCCTCACAGGCTCTAGCAATCTCCTTTTTGCACTCTTCCACTTCCGCCGCCGTTCCTTCGCTCAGCCGCCTCAAATCCACCACCGGAAGCTCGCATTCCTCCACCGTGCCGCCGCCCTCGCTTCCGCCGCCGCCCGATTCGGCCAGGAGGGCCTTGTAAGCCTCGTTAAAGGGTGGGTCCATCGCCACGTTTGCACACTAATTATGGATTAAAGAAACCACTTAAAAACGGAAGGTAAATGCATAACAAGACAAATCAATCGGAGAAATAGAAGAAGACGTGGGAAAAAAAAACTAGACCAACTTTGTTCTTGTTGGTTCTCGGTTTCTCTTGTTTTACATTTATAGAACATGGGCTGAAATATTCTCACGCCGCCTAGAAAAAGTAGAACTCGTTAATGACAACGGTATCCTAAGTATGTATCGTCAACTTTTGAGATAGTTCTACTTTGTATTTTATTTCAAAACGTACCTTACCAATAAAAAAATTATCTTTATTTTTATATCATGGATCACGTTCTTCTCTGATTAATGTAAAATTTTGTTTACAATCCTCCAACAAATCTAACAGAAATAATTTACTATAAAATATGACTATTTAAACCACTTAAATTATACGTATCCCAGCCCAAATAAGATAATTAGTCCATCTAACATATATCTTCGATTAAAAAGTCAATATTCAGATTCAATTTTCACGATCTCGTTGGAATTAAATAAAAGATAATATTTTGGAAAATAGGAAAAAGGGAAAAGGTTAAATAAAAGAAAGTCAATATTTGTATGTCGTTTGTTAATTAAGGAGATCAGGTGGTGCTAGAAGAAACGAGAAGTACAGTGCACGTCGGTTTCCCATGCAATAAAGGCCATGTCTGAATATAACATGTGCATCTGCCTCAGTCAAATGCATCTTTTTTTCCCTTTTTTTTAAATTTTAATCTCTCTTTTTTGAGTGTGCCAATTCATGCCCTAAAAAGTGTAGATCTATTCTATTGTTTGTGAAAAAAATATATTGTGTGTGTCTGTGACAATTTTTATGTGAAATTTTTGTTTGCATCGTCAAAATATGAAATCGAATAAAACAAGATTTTGGTTGAACAAACATTTTGCTGTGATGATCTTTGAATTTCACAAAATGAATAAGGTGAATAATATGTTATAGCCAATTACAAAAACTTCTCAAGATTTTCATGGGTTGTTTTTTTTTTAACCAATTTTCATGGGTTGTTGTTAGAAAGTTGATTTTGAAAATTTAAAAACACTTGTGATACATTAAGGGAGGCACTTAGGGGCTGAGTGATTTAAAATGATTGACTCTAGCAAAGGATTTAGAACGGATATTAAATCAGTGATTTTAGCCAAAGATATTTAATGATAATCAATGTTGTGAAAGGGACTTTTACATAATTATTTTAAGGTTCGGTTACACACTTTTTCAAGTGATTTTGTATAATTGAAAATGATTTTGAAGTATTATATTTAAAGTTTAAAGAGAGAATTTGATATAGAGGGAAAAATTTTTGAGAAAAACAAAAAACTTAAAAAAGTGAAATTTTAGAGAGTAAGAGACCATCATATTAAAAAGATAAAATAAACTTAGAAAAAATATGGGAACTAAAAAATTAGAGCTATTATAAAAATTTTAGAGAAAAAATAAATAAAATTAAAGATAAATAAAGTTAGAGAGTGAAAATTTTTAGAAAAAGATAAAAAAAAATCTCAAAATTTAAGGTGAAACTAAGGATTAATAGAAAAACAATTTTAAAAATTAAAATAACAATCATTTTAAAATATTAATTTTTCATTAATTTTTTGGTAAGAAATCACTCAGAGAATCACCGGAGTAACTTCCCACTAATAAATCATTGCCAAACGTTTTATTGTAAAATGAAATTGATTTTAGGGTGTGACGGGGAGTGATTTTAGCATGACTAAAATTACTTTTACCATTGTCAAAATCACTTTTATTTTGATTCATCGCGTTTGACAATTTAAATTAATTTTTAAAGTATCACTCGGACAGTGATTTTGAAAAATCAATTATACTTAAATTTTTTTTTAAATCACTCATTCTACCATCACTTCTAAACGCACCTTTTAGTAGAAGTGATTCTAATTTTACTAAGGGTGTGTTTAGGAGTGATTTTGAAATGGCCAAAATCACTTTTACTTTCCATTTCCATTAATCGTGTTTGGCAAATTAAAAATTGATTTTATAAGAAAACTTAAAATTACTTTAAATTAATTTGTAAGGTATCACTTATACAGTGATTTTGGAAAATCAGTTATACCTAAATCTCTTTTTTTCAAAATTATTAATTCTATCATCACTCTCAAACACATCCTAAATCACCTCTTAAACATGTGTGTTAGGGTTATCTAAAATATTTATTAAAAAATATTTTTCACCTAAAATAATTTTTTTTAAAAGTGAATATTCTAAATTTACCCAAACTATCATGGCACACTCTCCCTATACATGTTTTTAATAAACAAGTCTACACTAAATTCTTGGAATAAATATTCCCTTTTAATTTTATTGCATCGTCCAAAAAAAAGAATCATACCTATGAAAACCAAAAGCAAGGTATACTGATCTTAACATATCTAATATTAAAGATGAAATTTTTCGTAAAGAGTATCAAAATGGGAAGTTATGAATGCAAGGAAAAATCAATAAATATATGGCTGTCACATTATAATTATTTGTACCTAATAATTGCAAAATACATGTTATAAAATAAAATTTTAAAAATATTTTTTATTTGTTCTTTATAAAATTGTCTACCACATCATTTCAAATTCTATCAATCCAAAAAATTTATTAAAGATGCATTCACATTATTTTGTAACATAAAATGAGTATGTATTTTTAAATATAATAGACAATTTAGAATTAAAAAAATAATAATTACATAATCAAAATCAAAATCAAATCAAATGTAAACTACATCGAAAAAAGAAAAAATATCATATAATTTATTAATTTCTACCCCTCTATTTGAGCTCTACCCCTCTATTTGAATTATGCTCAAATTGATATAAGTAAATGTTAAAAAAAAAGGACAACAATAACTAAAAAAATATATATTGTTACCCCAAAGGACACCAATAATTATGCTCCAAGAGTTTACAAAAAATAATATAGATAGGTTCGGATTATGCGGACACATATTTTTTGGAAGGTTTGGGAGGTTAATAATGGAGATTTAAACATAAAATTTATTAAGGGAAAAAAACTCTTAGTAGTGAAGAAATTCACATGCCCATTTTATATGTATGTATTTTAACAATGTTTCCAAGTTTATAACTTTTAGGAAAAGTGGAAGTATTTATCGAAGCTCTGTTGACTGTCTCTTCATAAGCCTAACTTTTCAATGGTAGAGCCACTAAATGATAAACTAATTATTTTGGGGCCACAAACGTTGATTTATGACCTTAGGAAAATGAATTTGAATTTTGTCTGTTGACCAATAATTTAACTCTTTTTTTTTTTTATAAATTTGATTTCTTGAAATGACCAGGCTAGGCCAGGGGCTTCCTCTCTCTCTCTCGTAGAAAGATATGCTATAATATATATTTTAAAGAGACTGTCCGTTCAAAAATTAAAAATAAGAAATAAGAATTGTTCAAATTAAATACTCGTGACTTTTGTTTTCTTGTACTTTCTTTTTTATTTTTATTTTTTTTTTGTTTAACAAAGTAGGCAGAAATTGAAAAACTTCAGGATATTTATTTTTTAGATTAAATCATAAGTTTGTTCTCTGTGTTTCATTTCATCTTTTAATTTTAGAAATTGTGATTGCATTTTTAAACTTCTAAATATACTTGTGCTTAAGCACTACCAAATGTTGACATAAGATCTACGACAATTACTTAGTAATATGTCACAACACGTAAATGCAAAAATTTTATTAATAATTTAGGATGCATTCTGAAAATAAAAAATTCAATAAAAAAACAATATTGTATTATTTGTTTTCAATATTTTCGAACATGTATTTGGTAGTAAATTTAAAAATTTAAATTTACTTTAAAAACTTGCTCAAAATGTGTTTAGTAATATATTTATAAATTAATACTAGTTACAAAACCAAATATTTAGTTCAATATAAAATAATATTTTTGTTGTGAATTTTGTAGAATTATTATTTTATAATATTTTATTATTTATAAGTATTTTATTATTTACTTAATTTTAATTTTAACAAAAATTAAATGAGCTTATGACATTAAATAACATATTTATCACAACTTTATCTATTTTAAAGTTTCAAAGTAAACATCTAAAAATTGTTTTAGAATTTATATTATTTGGATCATAAAATCAAAAGACATACAACTTTGTCAAATACATATATTCCAAATCCATTTGATTTACGGATTTGAAATCAATAAATAGAATCTACTTAGCCTATCAAATAGCCTCAAATAACTTAATAATTAAAATGCATTTTCTGAAACAAATCCGTGCACGAAAACAGTAACTCTATGCCATAAAAAATTTTGACCCCTTGTCTGTGGATGGGACTTTGGGTCTGTAACATGGGAAATGCAGCAAATAAGGATAATGATGATAGCAGCTTCTTCACGTCATCTTGGGTGCTCATTTTTTACCCAGGGGTCAAAACTTTTTACTTTTAATTTTAATTTATGTCGTAAATATAAATTCAACAGCACAGACACAGTACTGGATAACCTGAAAACCAACATGGTATGGTATTGGTACGTAGATCTAAACTTAAAAGTCACTTTTTCAAATGCAATAATTAAACAAGTTTCAATCATGGAATGGAAAAGGAATTATTATTATTATTTGCGTGGATATTTTATAAAAAGGAAAAAGGAAAAAGGAAGGCATTATTAGATACTCCGAACTTTTCTGAAAAAACCAAAGAGAGACAATTACAGTTAAATGATGAAGTGATATATACGTTATTAATTATTTTATTTTTGTGTGAATAAATCGGGAAAGATCTAAAATGGCCAAACATATGCTTGGAGGTGTGCCCATTCTTGCGTACAGACATAACATCTCTTAACAAAACGAATAAACAATAAAAGCCAAACCTAGCTACTCTCCGTCTCGAAACATGTACTAAGCATTTATCTCTGTATTGATCACCGTTGAAAAATTTGTGATCGCGTTTTAAATATTTTGAAACTACTCCTTTATTTATACATATATCTAATACATTTACCTACTAAAAGAAATGAAATAAAAATGCGTACCTGGTTTAGGGTGTGTACCATATTTGGTTTGGAGATGGGAGTAATCTATATTATATTACACGTTTTACCAGAGAGGGACGTCTTTTTCCAGAGATTTTGGGAAGGGAAAATGGGAGCTGTGTGTAAGAACAAAAATAGAGAAAAAGGAGAGAGTGTGACAGAATGGGATGGGGTTGTAGCCTACTTATATAGGGAAAATGAAAGTGATGAATTTGAATGGTGGAGAAGATAAGAGATAGTGGAAATGAATGGCCACACAACTTCCAACGTAAACCTCCCCCTTCTCAATATCTAAAACGCCTATACTACTTGACTTGTACACGCTTCACACACCAACGCAACACGCATTTACACATAAATATCTCCCCTATTCCTCCATCCTCTCACACAAGTTAGGCATTTTCACGACACATGTTTATTATGGTAAATTTAATTCTATATCACTTTCACTTGTGGACACGAAGATTTGCACAATGCCCAACAATTGAAAATGATTGTGGATGAAAAGAAACGACAACGCAGGAAGTTTGAACACGGGACCTCTTAGTTAACTTATTTACGGCGTGTCTAACACAATGATTATATGTTGAAGAGAGAATGAACACGCGGCTCTCGGTGGTATCAGAGAAAAATATATGCTGAAAGAGGTATTGGGCATTGGGGGATGGTGTGATTTTGAACTGTTAAATTTACCATAATTGTACCCCGGATGAAGGAACTAGTGGCAGCTAGGGGAAATATATAAAAAAATAATAAAAAGGAAACAAAAAATTAGGCCAAAGGAAGGGGAAGGAGAGGAGAGACTTGGTCGAATATGCACCATTTGAAATCAAGTTGGGATGTTCAATATGTTACGTTGGACCTGACCCGACCCGGCCCACCATCACCCCCTCTCCTTCAGCTCCATCTCAGTCCAATAATTATACGTGGCATGATATGGAGTCACATATATGCCACTTCTATTTTTTTTACTATCTTAACTTGAGTTCAATTGATTAAAGAATATATCTATATTATAAGGCGGTATCTAACTCCAAATCTTATTGTACACTTAAAAAAAACTTTCAACTCACTTTTCACCTAATTATTGTTATAATTAATTACTCGTTTAAATTAATTAATAAAATTTCTTTCCCAACATTGATTAAATAAGTAGGTTAGGTAGGAAGGAGGGGATGAAATTTGAAGGCATGCGGGGGTTGTTGAGGTGATATCGAAAGGCCCTTGGAAGGAAGGGCACAGAACGACACTAGTATATTCTTTGCCACTCATTCCATCATCTCTCTATAACAAAACAAATATGTATAAAAGAAAGTGTCTTCCCCTCCCCTTGCACCCAAAAATATCTCTCCCTTTATAAATTAAAAAATGTTGGTTACTTATTTTTCATATTAAATAATCTTGCATGTGCTTTTTCTAATTTTGTTGCTTCTTGAAGCACTTTAGTCGGCAAATCTCCCGCCATATTCATTTTGTTACCGTTAAGATCTCACGTTAAAAAGATAAGAAATCTAACTAGAGTTTATAATTAACATACACTACTTTCGTTATGTCAATTAATTTTGAGATGAAACTTAAAGTTCAATATGAAGATTTTAATTAATTTTATTATATTAAATAACTTTTTAAATTAAACAAATATAATTAATACACATACTTTTGATAGCATTGGATTGGTTTGGACTAATACAGATAAGTGTCACGGGTGCAGGTATCTTCCAAACGTCAACATCCAATTAGTGGTAAATTAATATGAATGAAAAAAAAAAGGACAGAATTTGAGGGTGAAAGAAAGTGCAGAAAAAAGCATGTGATCTGATCTCACTTTTTGAGTAAAAGTGAAAAGGTAAAAAGAAAAAGAAATGGGCTTTTGAGGTGTTGTTTGTGTGTAAAGTGTTACAAAATTTGTGTACCATGTCCTACCAACACAGCTATGCCGAGGCTCGGGCTATTTTTTACTTTACCCCAATAATATTCATTTCAAAATCTTTCTTGTGGGCCTTATTATGTGTCACGTGGCACTTTATGACTTTTCATAAAAAGAAGTGAATATGTGATAGTCATTTCTTAGTATTTTCTTTATTTCCTCTTTTTCTTGTTCATAACTATTGATTGTGGTGGTTGGATTTCGGTAAGGTTTTGGTTAACTTAGAAGGTTGATACCTAAAACAATTTAAATTTGTGTCCATTTGGTTTATGTTTAAAATATTTTAATAAGTTGTTAAATTATAAATTTTTTTTTAATAAACTTATGAACTTTTAAGTTTCTACCCCTAAATTCATGTCATTTAATTATGTTATTATTATTATTATTATTTATTTTTTTTTGAAAGGAGAGTTGTATTAGAATTTTGCCACTTGGGCAGATAATGAAGGGAAGTCTCCCATAACACAATCCAGAAGCCACACGGGAAAAGAGAACAACAAGTATTCGTGGCCATAGAAGAAACCCTCCTTTTGTAAGTACATGGGCAGAGCTATTACAGGACCGAAGAACATGGTTGAAAGAAATGAAATTGAAAGTTAGGGCAAGATTCTTCACCTCCAACAACCAATTGAACTCGTCGTCAAGAGTATCCAAATCTCCTCTAATTAGACGGATTTCCTTAAGGGAGTCAGATTCTACAGCAATTTAAAGTTCTTGCAAATTTGAAACCTTCCAAAATTTCTCTTATTTCAGCCAAAAGAGGTACGGTGAAAAGTGAATTTTATATTTGCTTATTAGGCCTAGTTTAAGTGACTTTTTCATTAAATTTTTAGGTGAATGAAAATTAGTATTTGGAGGTCATCACTTTAAACTTTGTTATTTTATGTTTTTTTTTAGCTCAAAAGGAAAGTTTGGGATGGGTGAAATTTAAGATTTTGAGGGAAATTGAAGGAAAGGAAAATATGTATTAACCAGTTGAACTATATTTATGTTGACTATTTAATTATACTTTTCCACCAAATAGTTGATACTTCTATTTCGTATTTGGTTCTGAGATTTTTTTTTTTTTTTTTACTTACTACAGGTTAAGATTTAGTTATTCTTTGCATCGATTTCATATCATTCGATTTCAAATAAATTTGGGGCAAAAAAGTTTGGTACTTAGTAAACCTTCATTTTATGTGAAAAATGATACTTGTATTCAAACTACTGTATTTCATGTAACAAAATTTTTTGTACCTGTAAAATCAAACAATACATAATAGACGTGTTATTTAAAAATCATGTGGTCGATTGATTAATTCTACAAAAGTTCACGTCCTCCTAATGACACAATAATATTCAAAGTTTAAAAGTACCGAAATTAAATAGATACAATGTTAAAAGTTACTTTTTTTAAAATTTAAGGACTAATGCAATACAATCCTAAGATTAAATTTGTAATTTAACCAAATTATTAACATAGGTTTAAAATAGAGAAAATTATCTAACAAAAATTCTATAGTGGTAAATTACCTCGAAAACTGTTTTGTTTTTGCTTTCAATGTTATATATTTTAGAAATATATTCGAAATTTTAGTAAATTGAGAAAAGAAACACCTTGTTTATATGTTTCACGAGGGGGGGTTCAATTTTAAATTTTATTTACAATATAAAATAAGTTGTTTTTCTGCTAATTTGAATACATAGTTAGCTATATGTTTTTGATAAAAATTTTAGAAGTTTTAATTCCATCTCATGTAAAAAAATAGGAAATTCTTATTAAAGCACCATACCATATTGGGAGAAACAGGAAAAAAAATGATTATTAATTAATGATGGGTTCCAATTATTCTATAGCTAAGCATCATATCTCCTAGCGGAAGATATGTGTTAATTATTCCATAATTGTAAAAATGATGTAAAAGATGAAAAATGAAAAAAATGTAAAATCATTGTATTAAATATTAATATACAACTTAGTGGGAAATAAAAACATTTGGACGAGGGGGGCTGGGGGAATCTTAAATCCTCAAAACCCTAATTTTCGAATTAAATACTCAATACTTTTACATGGTGTCCTCCTCGATCCTATTTTCCCAAACCAAACACGATCAGTTGGTGTTGGATGGAAAATTATGCAAATCACACGGTTTAAAATGATTAGATCCAATCCAATGGACGTCCCGTTGCGAAGGGCTAATTTGCGCCACAGTTTCAATCGCTCGATCTGAAATTGAACGCTGGAATCATCAACTACCTCAGATCAGTTGACATTTCTCGGCTTCAACTGTAACAAGGTTATTCTGTAATTAATCCGTGCAATAATTTTACAAATCCCTGCTCAATTTCGGAGCGCAATTGCAAGCGAAACTTGCAGCTCAGACGGCTGAAGACGATGGCGCCACCGGAAACCACACGGTGGCGCGCAATCGTATCAATTATCGCGATGTTGCTACTGATTTCGCCGTCGATGGCCATCTACTGCGACGAAGACGATTGCTACGATCTCCTTGGGTGTGTTTATAATATTATAATTTTGGGTGTGATTATTACTGCGGCAATACCTAATTTTGGTCTTCTTTCTAACCAATTCAATTTTCAACTGCCTTCCAGGCTAACGCAGAGTGCAACCCAATCGGAGATCAAGAAAGCTTACTACAAACTGTCATTGAAATAGTCAGTAGTTCTCTACTTTTATTTCATTTCTTCTTGTCATTCAATATCATTCCATTTGAATTTCTCCTTTTTGTGTTCGATGAAGCCATCCAGATAAGAACCCGGATCCGGAATCAAAGAAGCAATTTGTTAAGATTGCCAATGCTTATGAGGTACTAGGGCGATAAGGTTCTAGATGCTATTTTATTCGCCGTGATTCTATATTGCTATTTATTGTTCAATTTTAGTTATCTTCACTTCTTAAATGTCTAAGCTTATCTACGAATTGCAGATATTGAAAGATGAATCCACGAGAGAGCAATATGATTACGCGATTGCTCATCCGGAAGAGGTAATTTTTAAGCATGTGTAGTCCATTGCTGATGCATAATGATATTGTTTTCACTATCAATCTTATGAAAAAAAAAAATCCTGGTTCAGACTACTATTACTATACCACTGCCGCTGTCAGTGGTTTTGTGGGTCCTTTTCTCTGGCCTACACTCCTACTAGAAGTGGCAGTACGCTCATTTGTTGGATGTCTTCTAATTTGCTTTGTTAAGCTACGATTGTGATGATGATTTAATTTAACAGGTGTAGAGTGATTGCATTACATTTCCGTAGTACAATTTGGTCGCCTGGAGGCCGGTCCAGACTCCAAACATAAGTGATTGGTCAGACGTTTTACATTTGAACAATATGAAGAGAATTATGAATAATGAACAAGATACTTAGAAAAGAGGATTACAAGTAGATTCCAGGATTAGTTTTATAAATGAACAACAAATATGCTCTTTTAACCCAGATTTTAAGAGACAATCCACTTTTTATGAAAAGTGAAAACCATCTCAGACAGAGACTTAAAATACTGTTAACTTTGCATCAATGATTTACTGCCAAGAGCTTTCCCGTAGGATGACGTCTTTGTTTCATGTATGTCTTTGGGCTGCTGTTGCAAATAAAGAATGGATCATTACTGAAACTGACTGTAATATATGCAATTATACCATCTTGCTTTTTGTAGAAAAGCAGAAACACAAGCAAAGAACAATTGTGATCGTGGCATAGTTTTGTTAATTACATTTGGCTGCTTCTTAATGTAATGAACAGTGATTTCTTCATCTTTTAGGTATTTTACAACACAGCTCGGTACTATCATGCATATTATGGTCATAAGACGGTAAGAACTTCTATATTTGTCTCGTGCTTACAGAATATGTTGTTTATAGCTAGGCTTGAAGTTTGTTTATCACTTTAATTGGTTTTTGTAGTTATTTTATTGGTTTTCTCCTCTCATTTTAGGATGCTCGTGCTGTGCTGGTTGGCCTTCTCTTGATTCTATCTGGATTTCAATATCTGAATCAGTGGACAAGGTATCAACAGGTACCAGTACCTCTCTAGGTTATTTGGCCTGGAAATGATATGATGGTTTTTAGGTGAAACTGTTTGATAAATGGCCTGGTTAAATTTTCACTGGTCACATTGACTTTAGGTGCTGATATCATTCCTTGTTCTGTCTGAAAAGTGAACCCTTTGATATTGATTTTATCCTGCCTGTTCTGCTTTTGAGGCATATGACAAGAACTTTTATGTCCAAATTTTGTTTCAACCCATCTTGGGAACCTTGTACGGCTAAGATTCATATTTTGTTATCCAAATCTGCAAATAGATGTAGATTTCATTCTACTGAATCATTTACTTTGTGCTATAGGCTGTTGACATGGTCAAGAAAACCCCTGCTTACAAAAATAGATTACGGGCTCTTGAACTTGAACGAAGTGGAGGAGCAACAAACAAGAAGAAAGGACACAAACAGTTGGATAAGTATGGAGTTGTTATCGGTCAATTACTTTATTCTGGAAAAGTTATTATTATTATTATTATTTACCTTGTATTTAGCTAATAGAATCAAATTTAATCTTAAAGACTAAAGTCGTAGCTTTTATCAACTTAAATCTTGAACTTAAATAGAAGGTGAAATTAATACCTTTTATTAGTTTAGTTGTTTATTATTTTGGAGATTTGTCGCTACGTGTGAGTATCCTTGTGGCAGAGGGAGGTTATTTTTGTAGATGGGGTTTTGTGGTTGTATTGGATATTGGCTTTTTTGTGTTAGAGTTTCTGGTGAGT